ACATCTCTCTTTTATTTAGTTGGTAGATGTCCATTTGAAGTGGCTTTTCACTTCACTTTTGTTAATGGGGCTTCTCCTTGGCCTCTAACTGCTAAACTAACATTTCCATAAGTCATGTTTCCTAGATGGACAACGTTACCCAGGTATGGACAAACAATCCCTTAAGAAAGAAGGCAAATCCTCCCAATTATAACAAATAGAAAAGACAAATAAAATAAGGAAAGCTACAAAGGCTGTTCCTGTATTGTGGGCGATGAGGATTATGTGACCAAGAGCCAGCATAAATTGAGCTATTATCGTGCACTAATGTATTCATATATAGGAAATCTGGCTAACCTCAGAGAGCTAGGCCCCAGTGTCTCTCCTCCTTGTATCTCCCCAGGGGCCTGGATGGAGGCGAGGCTGGTGAACGGCATGGGGAGGTGCTCAGGCCGCGTGGAGGTCCTCGTCCAGGGCACGTGGGGGACCGTGTGTGACGACCTCTGGGACCTGGCTGATGCCACCGTCGTGTGCCGCCAACTACAGTGTGGCCAGGCTGTGGCAGCCCCCACAGGGGCCCACTTTGGGGCGGGCTCTGGGCAGATCCTACTGGACGACGTGCAGTGTGTGGGCAGCGAGAGCCACCTGGGAAAGTGCATGCACAGGGGCCAGGCCGGGCTCAACTGTGGGCACCTAGAGGATGCCAGTGTCACCTGTGTAGGTGAGGGCCTGTCACCTTAACACGAGGTCACTTCTTTCTTTCCCTTCAGACAATACTCAATAACTTATTTTAGTAAGTATATTACAAACAGCACTGTAGACTTTGGCATATTGTTTTCTTTTTACCATCAGGTGCTGACGACTCACCAGGCCCCACTCCAACCATGGAGCCGGAAGCTGCCACCCCATCCTACACACCATCAGGTGGGGCCAATGTTTGCTTGGTTCACTGACTTTGTAGCTTCTCCCCATAAGATTCCTTTTTTAACCATGGTAGCAGGGCTCCTCCATCGTACAGCTTCATCTGCGCAGGGTGAGGAGCCATCAACTGCCCAAGATGTCTCCCACCTTTGTGCCCTTCCAGACAATTAATCCAGCATTTGTAGCTCTCATTGAGTAATATGTTTTAATACGATCTGTAGATACCAGCACGTTGATCTTTTCCAACCATCAGGTGATGACGATTCGCGAGTCTCCACCTCCACCACAGAACCTATGGATGCCCCCCCAACACACACACTTCCAGGTTAGTCAGCTCTTTTCTTGGAGCTTTCATTTTCTAGTTTTATCTAGTGATTCTCAATGTGGGGTGAAAGTAGCTTTTACAATTTGGGCAAGACGCTTCTTCATAGTGCAAGTCTGCCCAGAGCGTTGCATGACCTTGAATATTTCAGGCCCCATCACCAACTACTTGCCGGCATCCCCCAGAATCATGGGACAACCAGAAACAGCCCCTATTCCCACATTCCCAAAGTTCCCTGGAGTTCTGCTCGGTTCCGGCTGTGGTGGAGGCCTCCGTGGCTCCCAGGGGAAATGGGGTGTGTAAGCTGGCAATGAAAAAACCAGGGGAGCAGAAGAGTTTGGAGTGTGATCCCCTCCCCGTGGCCTGCAGCTGCTGAAAAGGTCTATCCTTTGCCTTCCTGTGGTTATCTTTAGGAAGATTGTTTGTTGTTGAAATGATTCAAAAGCTCAGAAAGCATGGGTAATAGTTAAAACTGAATCACATTTCAATGAGAATTTGTAATAGTCTAAAAATACTTTATATAACCGTGTTTGGGTTAAATTTCTCCAGGTCTTGATCTTATAGGTATGGAAGCTTTTTTAGAGAAATATAGAGGTGGCTGTGAACACTTTGGAGGGAAGAAAGGACAGGTTAGTAATATGCAGAAGGAGGCCATTCCTAACTCATGCGTGCTGTGAGCAAAAGAACTGGGAAGTTGGTCCCCTAAGCTAGGGGATATCATGGCCCCTGAGCCCTGGGAAAAAGAACTGATGGGAGACTGCCCCATGATGGTGGTGTTCACAGAGTTTACTCTTCTTCAGCTGGCTGGTACCACCTCTCCACCTGCCTTACTAGTACTCTTGGCAAGTTGCATAGTTTTACAAATTTAGTTAACTTCTTTGGACAAATTTGCTGCAAAAGACTTCTTTAAAGTGTTGAAAAGTGAAGATGTCACTCTGAGGACCAAGGTGCACCTGACCCAAGCCATGATATTTTCAGTTGCCTCGTATGCATGAGAAAGCCAGACAATGACTAAGGAAGACCAAAGAAGAACTGATGTCTTTGAATTATGGTGTTGGCAAAGAATATTAAATATACCATGGACTGCCAGAAGAACGAGCAAATCTATCTTGGAAGAAGTACAGCTACAGTGCTCCTTGGGAGTGAGGATAGCAAGACTTCATCTCATGTACTTTGAACATGTTATCAGGAGGGGAGGGACCAGTCCCTGGAGAAGGACATCATGCTTGGTAGGGTAGAGGGTCATGGAAAAAGAGGAAGACCCTCAACCAGATGGATTGACACAGTGGCTGCTACAATGGATTCAGGCATAGCAATGATTGTGAAGATAGCAAAGGACAGGGCAGTATTTCTTTCTGTTGTACATAGGGTCACTACTAGTCAGAACTGGCTTGACAGCACCTAACAACAACAACAGTTAACTTCTACTTGGCACTATGGGCCCACTCAAAAATGAAAACAATTAGTTGATTTCCTTGTTTATTCCACACAAATGGCCAGTGTGAGGGTATCATTGCTAATTCGGTGAACTTAGTTTCATAATGATATGGCCAGTGGATTATGTGGATTGGCATTTTCTAAGGCAAAAAGAAAAGAAAGAACTGCTGGAAGCTCTCCACCTGCCTCATCGTGCTCAAGCAACAGAGAGTCCAGATAAATTCACCTAACAAGTAGATGGAAACTGCTTTGCTCAGGAACTTGTTTGAATGTCCTGTCTTGATGCCTCTAAACAGCTGAGTATTTCCTGAAATGGAAAGAAGTGTGTTAGCAGAGAACCTCCAGAACTGGTGTGGGACTTTTTTAAGAGCTGATGCCTGGGTGGTAGCAAACGGTTAATGCACTCAGCTGCTAACAGAAAGGTTGGAGGTTTAAGTCCACCCAGAGGAGCCTTGGAAGAAAGGCCTGATGATCTACTTCCTATTGAAAAAATCAGCCATGGACAACCCCTATAGAGCACAGTTCTATTCTGACACACAGGGGGTTGTCATGAGTCAGAATCTTACAGCAACTGGTTGGTTTTATGTGCCAGCCAATGGAATTATTGTAAAGGCACTAGAATTCTCCATTTTACAATGTTGGGCAATGAGATTGGCAGATGTGGGCTCCTACTTGTGTGATTATTTGTCTCTGCAGAAGGCCTGGCAAGAGCAGACAGGGGTCTTTGGCCATAAAGCTGAGATTGTTTGTGTTTACAAATATGGTCCTCTCCTAAGTGGAGTAGGAGGAGTTGAGAAGTGATGGTGCCTACTCTGTGTTTGTTCACATCCCCACGTCGTGCATGGCTGCCAGCTGGGCCCTCCACCACCCTGCCAGCCTCCACCCAGCACCCTCACCAGTTGGTCGGCTTCACTCTGAGTTTGCTCAGGCTTGCTCTTGGGGCATCAAGGAAAGGGAACTAATATCGATGGAGCTACTTCTAATAAAATAAAACAGGGCCTGGGTATGCCATCTGTGAAATGAGTATTTTAAGAACAGTAGTGGTCATTAACCTGGTTGAAGCATGGAAGATGTCTTTTTAGGTGCTATCTAATAAATGTCCACACATTTATATTTTGTTTTTAAAGTTTTTCTTCTTGTAAATCGGAAAGTCAACTTAAATTTCTCTCCTACAGGTAAAAAGCTTGACTGTTTTGGGTATGGTCATGATAATGACTCAGCTCTAAAGAAACTATCCGAAGTGTTTTGGGTCTTAGAATGGTGCCTTGTGGAGATTCTTTTTGTTTTGACTTTTTTATTTCCTAGTGTATTTATTGTTACTTTCATGACAAAAGTGGCTGGTGGTGACTTATCTGTGGTGTTCCATATAGTTTGGGTCTTATCAGAGTCATCACTGACCACAGCCCCTGAGACCGTGACTCCTCCTCCTGCAGGTATGGGAAGATGTTTCTGAGAAAATATGGTCTACTGGATACAGATCATGTATGTATGAGCCCAAACTAATGGGAACCCACAAGCAGAGAAGGAGATGGGCTGTTGTGACAGGAGGAACATGATCTTCAGGTCCAGACAAACCTGGATGCCTGCCACTGACTAGCTGTGGGATCTTGGGCAAGTCACTTGACCTCTAGAGTCTCCATTTTCTCATCTACAAAATAGGGATTTATTACCTACAACAGGGGATGAGATGAGAGAATGTAAATAAAGGGACACTCAATAGGGAGCCCTGCAAATAGCTCACTTTCAACCAGTGTCAGTTCTCTTCCCTCAGCTCTGGCCTACATGGTAAATCTATAAATAAGAGTTGTGATATTTAACAGATCACAGAACTTCAAGGCTAATATTGATACACAAGCATTCTGGATAACAATCAACTATTATCAACAGATATATGACCTAGCATCATATTTTTGTCTCTAAGTTTCATTCCAAGGGTCTATTTTATGGGTTCTATCACCTTCTTAGTAACATTATTTGGTCCTTCCATAAACCATCTTATATGGAGAATTCATGGTAGACCTACCTTTTAGTAAGAGACAGTATAGGAAAGTCCTGTTGTCAATGGAAATCAAAGATGGC